CGGGGGGGGGAGGGGGGGGGTCTCTGCATACGGCTGTATGGTTCGTCGTGTTTGTACTAGTGAAAAAAACCTGGCTGGAAGTGCATATGGACAGATGGAACAGCGAACGTTGCACCCCCTTCGAGTGAGACGTGTGTTGCTCATTGTCCGGAAGTTTAGCGTCAATGGGTAGGTCAAATTAATCCCTTTATTAAATACTCGCGTGGTGGAGTACCCTCCCTAAGGAGTTGAAGCGAGCGGAGCGCGCCCGTTCTCGCGGTGGGGTCTAGGGATGTGGAAACACGTCGTATGCCTGACTGGAAGGTGTTAGCTGTTACATGGCATACAATGCACATGGATGATGACGTTTCCTTAACTGACGATAAGAAGACAATACGGCGGGAGACTTCCCTAACGCACGAAGCACTGCCAGATGGCCGAGCCCCGAGTATCAAGGGTTAAACCCAACCCATCGTACTCTCAACTCCTATCTGCGTAAGCACTCCCTGCAGGCCTGATGGAAAATATTATTCCGCTGATGCACACACGAACAATTGTATCGCTTCTACGTTGGACATGGTGTAGCGTAGCACGGTCACCCTGGATATGCTCGGTTTTGGAATCTGAAGTTTTGCCTTTGCGTCACCCCCGATCATGCCGCAATGCAGGGCAAGGACTACGCCTTCCACAAGTCCGTGTCGAAGAACTTGTGGAAAGAGACTATCTTCAAGCCCGCCGCAGAGGAGCTGAAGAATCACGCCGCATATGTCGCAAAGGTTGGAACCGCTCACATCGACGAACTCTTCCTCTCGGCTTTCGGAATGAGGAAGGGGGTAGGGTGGTTCCGAAGCCAGCGGAAGCAGGCCTCTCAGTACGTCAAGGACCACGGACAGACGGGGTCGAGTGGGGGGAAGACCGAGAAGCTGAAGGTCATCATGCGACAAGACTTATACAGCAAGCACCCAGCCGTGACGAAGGCAGGGATGCGAGAGTCCTTCGGAGGATTAGAGACCGACTCGGACGATGAAGACGACGACGACAGCGAGAGCGAGGGAGGCGAAGGCGGGGAGGTCGAAGACGCACCTTTGAACCAGGAGTTGTGGGGTGACCTCTCGAGGCACATGGAGGACCGGGGAGACAGTGCGGCGAACCTGACTGCGATGGAAGAGGGAGATGACTGCAGTGCGCTGGAAGATGACGCGGGGGATGACCCACCCGCCGACTTCGGCGACGCCGGTGGAGACTGTGGCCAAGACGGAGACAGTCCGCCCGAGGGCGACGGCAGCAACGATCAGGGGGGCGCTGCGGGAGGGGTTCTTCCGCCTCCCGCTGCCAGGGTGAGAACCGACCAACCCATCCGTAGGCGCCCGGTGGGGTCGGGGGGTGGTAGCTCCACGGACGGAACCCCCTGCCTCGTGGTTCGGGCGGGGGGGGGTCCTCGCGCGGTGCTCCATCACGGTCGACCGCCCGCCCTCGTCACGTGCCCAGAGGAACTCACGGCGCCCTTGATGAGGAAATGGAGATGGGGACGAGCGGA